TTAAATGAAATTATTATATCACAATTCATTCAAAGACATTTCCTCTTCCAACTAAAGTAGTGGTCATTTAATTCTCCTTCAAAACATTATACAAAACATTATCACAAAATTGCGATACCTTGCTCAATTTAAGTGTTACCACAAAAAATTAAAGAATTAACCGTATAAAATGAAAGAATTTAATTTAAATTGAAAAATTTTTCGTGTAAAAACACTTGGCGCTGCTAGATAGAGTAAGAAAAACTATAAGAACAATTTAAAATTGGAATGGTAATTAATAAAAATAAATAATAAAAGATAATTGTATATAATTTAAAAGTAATAATAATTATTGTAATATAATTGTAATATAATTTAAAAGTAATAATAAGAGTAATAATAAATTGTCTTACATTAATTGTTTCTTATACATTTATATAATAATTATGCTATGTTTATAGTATTTTAAGGGCGACTGTTACCAACGCCGATTAATTTAGTCCACGATTAACTCAAACCAACGCCGATTAACTTAGTCCATCCACGATTGACTCAAACAGCAATAACTTATATTATAGACAGAAGATTTTTATTATTTTCATCACAGTTAAGTAGGAACGCAGAGATAGAAGTATATCACGAAAAGATAAGACGTTTGTTCGCGTCGCTTGCTCCAACATGCTCCTACTTCCTCTAACCATAGGTCCTACTCACTCTAACAAGCGCGTTAGAATGAGTAAGAGCTACGGTTGGAGGAAGTAGGAGCATGTTGGAGCATGCAATGCGAACAAACCTAAGGTTAAGAACGATATACAGATGTTGGCTATACTGCTGATTGAGTTAATCGTCGATTCAGTTAATCGGCATTGGTAACAGTCGCCCCAAGTAGTGCCAATCAATCTTGCCTTGCATTAATTGGCAGTTACACGAATTATTTTTATTTCTTATATTATAATTATACTATATTTATAGTATTCTAAGGACGACTGTTAGCAACGCCGATTAACTTAATCGACTGTAATCAAACAAAATTTGATATTCTATTCTAACTTTTATATTACAAAACTAACAATGATATATTGTTTAAGTTTATTATTGTTTCCTAACTTAGTTAACAAATTCGTTGCCGTTAAACAGAGACCTAACTTAGTTAACAAATTCGTTGCCGTTAAACATATATGTAAACCATACGTGAATTTGACAAAGTCCCAAATTTTGTTCCAAATGGAAATGTTCCAAAAAACTGGTCCAAAACAAAGTTTTTAATAATCTAGTTTCCAAAAACAAAGTTTTTAATAGTCTAGTCAGTTGAGATAAAGTCGACGAGTCCCATTTTCAATAATACCTGAAAATGAATTTCGTAAAAAAAGCATCGTACATAATAATAATTAGATAATTTTCGGGAGGAATAAAATATAATATTACTTGTGTTTATTACATAACCATACGTGAATCCAAATTTTGTTCCAAACATCTCTTTGTAAATTTCATCTGAGAAAAATCTTCTTGATGTTTTCTGGATGGATTCATTAACATACGTGAATTTGACAAAGTCCCAAATTTTGTTCCTAATCAAAATGTTCCAACAAACTGGTTTAGCTTTCAAAAATAAAGTTTTTATCAGTTGAGGTAAAGTCAACGAGTCCCACCAATTTTCAATAATACCTAAAAATGAATTTCATAAAAAAAGCCTGATAAATAATAATAATTAGATAATTTGAGGGAGGAATGAAATATAATATTACTTGTGTTTATTATATATATGCAATAGCTCCTGGCAGACTAGGGAAATTGTTAGTTGCAGATAAACAGACATGTAAACCATACGTGAATTTGATCCAATTCTAAACATCTTTTCGTAAATTCCATCATTTGAGAAAAATCTTCTTGACATTTTCTGGATGGATTCATTAATAAGAGGCTGTACTTTACCACAAGGAAACCTCGACAAGAAATGCATTATGATCCTTACCTCCTCGAGGTTGATAAAATAAACTCATTCGACGCATTTTTGCATTACATGAAAAATTTGCCCCACGAACCGAGTTATTAATTGTTATTAATTAAAGTTGATAGATATCCAAAGGAAATCCGTTGCATCGATGGCATAAAGGATTAAACAAATTTTCTGCTTTACAGACAAATATTTAACCAAGACAAATACTCTGGGTAATTATTCAGAATACCTCTCTCACCTCCGATTTCGATAAAATTAGGCTCGTTTGACGCGTTTTTGCATGAAACGAAAGAATCTGGCAAAAAAAAGTGTCGCTCTGCCTCGCGAACCGAGATATTTAGCGTTAAAGTTGACGACTATGGAGGTTAGGAAATCTGTCATACCGACTATGTGTAATAAATTAAACGTATGTAGTAGTGCTAAGACAGTGTCCCCTTGAATATTTGTAACCCATGTAGACAGTGGGGTGTATAGACAG